CACCAGCCCGCCGGGGCGTTTTCGCTACTGTGCCTTTTCCCCTTGCTAGGGTGATTACACGTTAGCCTTCCTAGCCTTAACGCGAACGAAGACCAGCTAAGCTCAGCACAGTCTGACAGTGTAAAATGAACGTGTCCACGCACGTAACCCCCCCCCCCACCTCGATTTTCAAAAATGAACATACCCACAACTCCATTTACTTCCGTCCCACAAGCTCCTCACACCTGGATTTCCCCTTCCAGGAAAATATGTCATTAGCCTTTCTGTAAGTTGTGTGCTACTCGTCTGCACCCCCCGACCCACCCCCCTTAACCTCGGGGGACTTAACCTGCAGTTGCAGCTGCCCTGGTTTAAGCCCCCCTACTCCAAAAAAAATTGACCAGAAATGTTGTAGTTTATTCCCAGAACAGCTAAAACTATGTGAGTATGAGGAACAGCACTTAACATCACCCTGGTGTTTAATGAGAAAACTAAATTAAATTCTAGGAACATCATCCTTTCCCTTCTACTCCTCCCACAGGCTGTATCACAGAAGTGGCACATGACAACCACACCATCCTAAGGCCCACAGAGCAAAGCATTAATTGCAAGTTTAAACAAAGGGATCAACAGAATGACTCTGCATATTCAGCTTCACCACTCCAGGCCCTGACAAAAACTCCAGCAGTGAAACCACATCAGTATCACAAATAGACATTAAGAAAAAAAATCTTAAAAAAATAGTTTCCTCATGTTGTTTTAACAAAGTATAAAGCTCTAAAGCCAGCACAAATTAGTGTCTTGCTAAAGAAGTCTTTATGTAGCTTGGGCTTTCTCTCACTGGACTTGCCTCTGTAAATTCAAAGAGCATAAAGTCAGCCAGCCCTCAGCTTTTTATGGATAGCTTTTTTCAGGTCCAGTATGTACTTCCCAACCAGTGCTTCTTGGTACCAACCAGTGCTTCTTGGTAGATTGTCTTTGAATAAGTCTAAACTGCTAAGCATTCACTGTGGTCACCTGAGCTTCTTCCAAAAGCAAGTCCTTGAACAGAGCTGCAAGTGAGTAAACCCCACTGAGAGTAAGAAGTTCCCTTCTGTGTGGCAGCAGCAGTAGCACAAGTACTCCAGACTAGCACTCACATACAGCCACTGCCATGAAGAATGGCTAAATCCCCTTTTTTTTTGTGGGTGGAAATAACAATGAAATGTATTTATTATCTTGTATTATCTTGTTACTCAGATGAGCAGTAGCTTTGAAGCACACAAGGGCTGTGAGTGATAACTTAACTCATTCCCAGCTTGCACCATCCCACCTATACTCAGACTGTAAGCTGACACACCAGTACACTACCCACACCCAAAGCCACACAGGCATTTATTTATTTAACCTGGACACCTGCAGCATCAAAAGCTTCCCCAGCACAAGTAACACGGCATCACCCTGGACACCTGGGCAGCTAGCTCGCACCAGATTAATAGCAGGGCCTCCCACCTAATTAACACAGGGCCATCCAGCAGGGCTGCAGTTGTCTGACTGCCCACCTCTGCCTACCCAGAAAAAGCAGGTAAGAGGTCACAAGCACTATGCCAGGGTAAATTCTGAACCACTTCCTTGCAATAGCAAAAGTTGCTAAAAAAAGTCTTATGCTAGAAAACTTCTCAGTTGTATAGAAAACAAGCAGCAGTAACAATTAGCCATTCCCTCTGCTGGAACAAAGTGATTTTGTACAGAATCACAGAATCTTAGGGGTTGGAAGGGACCAGGATGACCTTCCAAATTCACAAGTTAACAAGAGAAAAAGGATCCTTCTGACTGCATTTTGCACCCAAGAATCCTCCAGATTGAGTTTAAGTTATACCGGTTTGTTAAACAAACAGACCCACTGTAATTTGTTGCCAAAGAGGTCAATGCAGATGTATGTAGGTACATACATCAGTTGCAAAGTATTTTCTAGATTAAGCACAATATTGAGATCAGATGATCTTCTGCATGGTATGTTACCATTTTTATATCCCATGAAGTACTCCTCCGTCTCAGGACGTAGCATTACAGAGGGAATAGGCTTTATCTTGTGTCTGTTTCTGCCTTAACATGCTGTGAAGCTGGCAGAGACTTGCTATTAGATACACAGACCTCCTCTAAATTTATCTGTCACTTCATGACTTCCTGTAAGGTAACAAAGGAATGAAATTCCATCGCTTTTTCTGGTTCAAAATTGCAGAAGTGGGTGAAGCACAGATATGTTACGAGTGTTTTTATGCCACAGAAGAGTGCCTACAAGGATAAACTAAGAAAAAAAACAACTGCTTTCCTAGAGTTTTCATTTCTATTCCATCATCACACCTGTTACACATTTCATGTTGTTCAATTCTATGCCTGAATTTCTCAGACACCCATAAAGACCCGATGTGATTAATTTTCACCCAGCTCTTTCCTTTTCTGAAAAGAAAAAAAAAATGCACCTCTCTTACCTCAATCTGCTCTTCAATCCTTACAACCACACCTTCCCTCAATGCTGCTCTTCTCATTGGCTTTCCTCTGCCTCCAACTCTTTCATTGCTTTTTGGTAACACTTCATATTTAATTCTTATTCTTATTACATCTTGGTAATGTTAAACAAATTTCTCCATATCTCAATATGAACAAGCAATGACAATGCTGCACTTTTTTAACTAAATCAGGACTAACAGCATAAGAGCAACTTTATTACTCTAATCTACTAACAGCAGAGTGACTACCAATGGCTTCCTATAGCATGGAAAACAAATTAAACCTAAACGACGACAGCAAGAAACAGCCAACACCTGTTAGCACATGCATACCAATAGGTAGTAACTGCACAGGTGACAGACACACTAACCCCAGGACAAAAAGAAAAATTATTTTTTGGGAAGAGCAAGAGGGAGAACACACAGGTCAAATTGACAAAATCTCTTAAACACATTCTAGAAACAAGTATTATCACATACAAGATTGCCACACTGTGCCATTCCTTTTGAAAATGTCAAGTTGTGTCATAGTTGTTAAATGTTAGCCAAGTTAGATCCATCCACCAAATTAAAAGGGTAAAACCTCTCAGACAAGGTCTACACATTTTATGTTTGTGTAATGAATCTAAATTGAGAGCAACCCTCCATAGTAACACAGGAATAAAACATCCTAATTAAACATTATTTATTCATCACTGTTGCCTATACAGCAAATAATTGATGCTTTTAAGACTTACTTAATTCTCCTCTTCTGACAGATTTGTAAATGACAATTACTTTGTAACTTTAAAAACACTACTCAAGCCATTTAAATGAAAAACATTTTCGTGTATTTTTCCAATTTAGCGTCAACTCTCAATAACACCTAGAAATCCTGACAGATGTTTCACAGTATAAACCCAAAGAATTATTTTTTTTTTTAGGTTTTAAAACTTCACTGCACTGCTTCAGTAGTTTGACATGAGCAAGTGAAAAATAAACCCCTATTTCTCACTTGTTTAGACCTATTTAAGAGCTTTGCCCTGTACTTGGAAATCAGAAAGCTGGATAGGCTTTCTTTTGGTTGCAGAACAACAGCACCTTTGCAGCCATTTTTAAGTAATATAGCATATGGCAACCCCAGAATCAGGAACAAAACCAGATATAACTTCTTGACTATGATTAAATCTAAAGAAAAAACCCCAAAAATCTAACAGCAGCACTGCACTATTATCTCATATACAATGTTCTTCTTAGTTTTAATTAAGTTAATTAAGTGTCAGAATACAGATATCCTGCTGTTGAGATCATACCAGTAATTTTGTATGCACTGCTACAAATATACCACTGTAGTCAGTATCGATAATGCTACCATGATAACTTTATTCCACTCTCAAATCAATCATAACCTCATCCTCAATGATTCACCATGTGTTGTTTGCATTCAAATATGCATATAGACATTCAAAAGAGTTACCATAAGTTTTTATTAAAAAAACCTAGTGTACATGTTTTTCCCCAGTACAGCTAATATTCTTCTTAAAAAGTCCTGTATGTATCAAACATTGAAGGTTCATCCCATCGATGTCAATTGTCTTTGAAGAGCTGTCAAACACTTCCAACTGTAATGGACTTCAGTGTAGCCTTCAAGAAAAAAGCTTCTCGCTTTCTAAATGTATAAGAGGCTTAGTATTATGTGGCATGAAGACAATGTGCCATTAGCAAATAATCCTTGTGTTTACATTATTCCCTCGGGAATGATATAAACTCCAAATCTCAAGTGGTAATTCATACCCTGTATAAAATTAACATAAGATTCATTACAGTTATTCAGATGAATAGGTAGCATTTGGAAAGGTCCATCAACATTCATATTTTTAACAGCTCTTTAAAGAGGTAATGGTGCAGATTAAGTACAAGCTTTTTGCCTCAGTATAATACACATTTGAAATTAAAATAAAATATGGAAGACCAATATCTTTACATTTTGTTCTTCAGAAAAAGAAGAATCTTAAAGAAAGCATTTAGTAGTCCACTTGTGCTTAAAATATTCAATGCGTGAGAAAGCCAAAAGAAAAAAATACACATTTTTGTACACCATGATCAAAAAGATAACATTATAAATTTTCAAAAATTGCACTGTATTTAAAACACTCTCTAGGAATCTGTTCCACTTCTACGTATGGCTACTGAGGCTGCCTGACACAGTTCCTTTTCCACTTTAATTGCCAACCTGAGGAGGCCCTTCAGGGATCAGTGATGTGAAGAAGGTTGTGATAAAGGACCAAGCAGAAGCCATGAATCCAGGCTGCTGCTCTGTATTGGCATCTTCACCTGCATCTTCTCCGCTGTCATCTTCAATGCCATCATCCATAAGTCGTTCCTTTCAAAACAGAAATTGAGGGAATTAAACTGCTGCTTTTCAGAGCTCTGATGTAAGGTATCTTCCTACATTAATTAACTTCTCTCAAAACAAACTCCTGAAGAATAACTAGCATGAAAAAAAAGCCAGTCTCCAATCAATTTCTTGTCAGATTGGAATAATACAGAATTTCAGCAGCAGGCACAACACTGAGGACAATGTTGAAAGCCTTCTGGTTAAAGTGACTACATTCCATAGAAGTTGACTTTCTGACCAGGCATTACAGCATAGTTAATTATGTAACACATAGAAGTCTCAAAAGACATGCCTGCTCTTACTCACCATCTCTTCAAGATCTGGATTATTTGCATGTTGCCCATCACGGTTCACTTCCACGTTATTGGCTGCCTGTTGCTGGCCTCCCTCTTGCCTGAAGGGGAACCATCCAGCTTGGTGTCTATGTAAGAAAATGGAACAGTTGAAAAACTCTTTTGAAAGGGGAAAAAAAATAATAATTCTGCAAGTCTTACTTCTATATTGAATGGCTACTCTTTGAGGCTTGGATCCAGAAGGGTCTTGCTAAGAGGTATTCTTAAAGTTTCAGAAGTGCTGATTAACAGCCCTCTGTTCCAGAGGATGAATAATTTACCATGATTAGATTAAATATCTAGAATACTTTTTGGGGTGTCTTCCCTATTTTTAAGTTATATTAATTTTCAAAGGCTGCCTTAATTTTCATAGTTTAAACTAGATTTTCTATGGAAAAGAATTTAAACTTCAGCTAAGGCTTGAACCACACTATAAGTTAAATAAGCCCACCCTATGTCTTCAGGTGTCTATATTCTGATTTCAACTATCATATCTGCATGAGAAACAGAACACTGATGACTGAGACTACAATGTAAGGAAACTCTTAATGAATTACGTCAGTCCAAAAGATCAAGCATTACTGCTGTTTTTACTTTTATTTATATCACTGACGCATTTTTATATTTAAAGGGAAGTCATGACAATATTATTGATACTTCTGAATAAAACAGAATGAGCTTAGGCCTTTTTGATACATCGTAAGAAAAAGTTCCTGTAACTCTAGCAGATGTAGTTACCCACCATTACAGTAGCACTACTTTAGCTCTGCCTAACCTGACTTACTGCAAAAATTCCACACACTACTTTTGAAATACAAGTGACTTTGGCCCTGCAGTTTTCTTTCCATATTCAAGCAGCATTTTAAGTTTATCCAAGTATATGCTTGACCTATATGAACTTCCCTCTCCTCAACCCCATGTCCTAAATTTTCATTCCGAAGTTCTACATTCCTACAATACTGAACTGGTAATATCACCAACATTTAAGAGCACTGTATTTCAGGTTTGTATTTCAGGCTTAAATGGCATCCAATTTATTGTAACTATGTTTTGAGAATTATTATTTTTTTTTCCATAGCAGCTTCTCTACTTGTTTGAATTTTTAAATTATTTTTTCTTTTTAAACACACATCATACTGTAAAGGAGCAGTGCCTTCTGCATTTGAATAATTTTTCAGTTTAAATCAGAGAATCACAGAATAGTAGGGGTTGGAAGTGACCTCTGGAGATTGAGTCCAACGCCCCTGCCAGGGCAGGACCACCAGAGAATCTATGGCAGGTGACACAAAAGCATGCAGATGGGTCTTGAAAGTCTCCAGAGAAGGAGACTCCACAACTTCTCTGAGCAGCCTGCTCTAGTGCTCCATAACCCTTAAAGTAAAGTTTTTCCTCACACTGGGGTGGAACTTCCTGTGCTCTAGTTTGTGTCCACTGTCCCTTGTCCTATCACAGGGCATGACTGAAGACTGGCCTCTCCTTCTTGACACCCACCCTTCAGGTATTTCTAGACATTAGCAAGCTCCCCTCTGTCTTCTCTTCTCTAGACTGAACAGCCCCAGGTCTCTCAGCCTTCCCTTGTAAGACAGGTGTTCCAGTCCTTTAACCATCCTCATAGCCCTCCATTGGACTCTCTCAAGTAGATCCCTGTCCCTTTTGAACTCGAGAGCCCAGAACTGGCCACAATACTCCAGATGCAGTCTCAATAGGGTAGAGGGGGAGAAGAACCTCCCTCAACCTGCAGGACACACTTCTTCATGCACCCCAGCACACAACTGGTCTTCTCAGTCACAAGGGCACATTGCTGTCCCATGGATAACTTGTTGTCCACCAGGACTTCCAGGTGCCTCTCCACAGAGCTGCTTTCTAGCAGGTCAGCTCCTAATCTGTACTGGTGCATGTGGCTTATACACTAGCACCATACTCCATGTATCACATCTGCAGTTGTACTCAACTGTTGTACTCACAAATAAACCAGTAGCATGGCTCCCATTACCATGACAAATCGACTGAAGGAAGAATAGAAGTATACAATGCTCAGAAGAATTGCTGCTCTAGAGAACGTGTACATCCAGTCCAGCCAGTCCCGGTTGAAGTCCTCCTCATTCACTACTGGGCCACCCTGTGCATTCATCTGAACATTTGGGTTTACAGGCCTGTTCTCCTGGACGGCTACATTTGGCACTGCTGCGGGCTCATTTGCAGGAGCATGTTCTGAATTTACAGCCTGGGCAACTGCAGATCTTGCTGGCTCAGTCGCTTGGGCTGAAACAGCTGCTTGGCTAAAAATTTAAACATAAAACTGGTTTGTCTAAAACATGCACCACTAATAAAAAACAGTTTCAGATGTAATACAGGTCAAAACAAACGGCATTTTCCCTTCAATCTTTACTTAATAATACATTCATTTCAATCCAAAACTGGATTTCAAAATTTGCTGGACAGAACTTAGTGTAGAACAGAACAGCCAGACAAAATAAACACAGACATTCTGATTCTGTAAACAACATCCAAGTTTTTAATACCTTCTTTTCATTAGAGTAATACAGTCCAACCCAAGATAATGCAGACTTACTATTGCATGTAGTACTGACGAGCATACATTTGTTGCCACCAGATCATCTGTAAGGGACTGAATGCAGGATACATAGAAAATCCAGCAGGAACACTTTGACCTGGAAATTGGTTGCCTATACTGCTAGAAAAAGATTTAAAGAAAAATATTCAGTTCTAAATTGTAACATTTTTAAATGCACCAATATTAAAAAAAAAACACCATCATATTTTATTCCTCTCATTTGTCCCCCTATAATGCACTGAAATATGTAGTAAGATCATCCAGCCCATTAAAAAAAAAAAAAGCACTGTTTTCATATAAGAAATTAATAAGCACAGTTATTTCTAGAGAAAGTGGATTTATGTTTTTGTATCTAGAAGTCTGTCACTAGCTGCATCTCTAGGACAAAACCATGTTGAAATTTTTCAAAATTGTGTATAACTGCAGAAATTCTTCCATATAATTCCTTTCAAGTTCAGAGGTCACACTTAAACATGCTGCAGGAGTTGTAAAGGAAAACTTACTATCTTCTATAGCTTTCTTTTTGAAACAATACCAGAAGTATCACTGTGATCAAAGACATGATGAAATTAACATGAGCAAAGACAAGCTAATATTTCAGATACAACTTCTGAAGACTGCAACTAAGAACACCGTAAATTACTTTCCCCATTTCTCAATGTTTGGAGCACAAGTGGTTCTCCTCTCTGTGGGCTTTTAACTCTGGTTGACATGCAAGAGACATAAAGCTCCCATACAGAATTTTAGGTTTGGTTTTGTCTGCTTTTAATCTCCTTAGCCTCTCTTACCTCCTAGAGCACATAGCATGTTTTGGCAAGATTTCCAACTCTTTCCATAAAGATTTTGATGCAGTGAACTGTAGTAAACCAGGACATCTTTCAGGACAGCATGAGAGTATAAAGGATGAAGAAAAGTTTACTCAGACTGCAGGTAGCAAAAGCTGTGACTGCTGTAATTGTTCTGCAGACTACACCTGTTCCCTAAGTAAGGCACTCCCTGCAAAGATATCACCAAGAGATTTCATTAGTCTACCAGGCATTCAGATATAAAAGACATGCCCAGAAAGCAAGATGGGAGGAAGACATTTACATCTTTTTTCCATGTTACACATGAATAAGCATTTCACTGTACTTCTGGACAAGAGCCTGTCAGGCAACTCCATGACCGCTGTCAAAACAGTTTGCTGTGTTTGTATTCAGCAATATCCTGCTTTGACAACGATGGGGGGCAGGACGGGAAGAAAGTAAAAGCTACTGTCCTGAGACCACATAAACACTGAGATAGTCATGGACAAATTTGCAAGGCTGAACTGGCAGTCCTGCTGATGCTACTTATTTATGCATAATTAACATGTTGGAACAAAAAAAACAAACCTGTCAAGCTGCTATTGAAAAACACAATCATGCTTTTCTCTTTATGGCTGCAAGCTTTAAGAACATTCTTTTCAATCCCCTGACCTGGCAAACACTTTGAGAAATAAGGCTCCTCCAAAATCCATAAAATCCTGACCATCATAAAACACTTGGCCCTGAATGTGTAAAGGAGATTCAAATGTTCTACATGGATGTTGCTAAGTACTACACTGTGACAAATTACTGACTGATGTCTCAATTTCCACAAGGTAGAATACCACATGGGGATGTAAACAGGCAGGGCAGGACCAGGACCCCTCATTGTTCAACCATACCTACTTCACCAGCTCAGTCATCAATAAGCAGTGCTACCAATTTGCCGAAGTTCTGCAGGAATTCACCAATGCTTTTTCTTGTCAGTTAGAAATATTACAGGATTTGAGCCTCTACTTTCTTCCATTCTTTTGAAACTTGCTTTCCTGATGTCTAAAAGCTTAATAGTAGATTAACAAACTAGTCAATCAAGACAAACAACAAAATATTTCAGTTATGTCCTGCTCTTTTGTTTCCCATCCTGGCAGGTTGTTGGGAGGGGGTGGGTGTATTGTTGTTTTTTTCTTTTTTCAACAGCTTTTCTAGATGTGACTTTTTCAGAAGACTTAACATTTAAAAATCTGACTTCATTAATGCAAAAAAGTAGACAACAATACTCAAGAGCAATCTTCTGCTTTAGAATGCCAACTAGCAGAGCAGCATTTTGTTTGCTCATCAAATATCAGAATGAGGCAGATGCTGTCCATTATACAGCTATTACAGATGCTGGGGTATTAAGTGAGTTTATGAAATTCAGGAACAATTCTAAACTCAGTGTAATGTACTGCAGTGAGGAGAACCTCTCCAAAGAAAGAGGCTCTTCTCAGCAAAGCAAGCTGGCTTGCTGCTGGAAGAAAAAAGAAAGCAACATGTCCTTGCTCATCTTTTTCCAAAAGGAGGAGAAAGAGGCAGGAAGCAGAGTATTTCAAAAGATAGGCAACAACAGCACAAGAGCAGAGAAGCAAATTGGATAGGCACAGGCATTCCAAGATTGGAGAACAGAGCAGACAGTAGAAGAACAGCTAGAAAAGTCCAAAAACGGGTTTTAAGGTTCAAATGGTAGAGGTAGCTTCAGAATGTTCTGAAAAGAGGCACATTACTCCTTAAATGCCTAGAAAGCTCAGAATTACTTATCTTGGTGTATGGAAGACAAGTAAAATGAACTGAGACTCAACTTGAGGGTAAGGTCAGACTTGTTAGCTAATGTAATCATGAAGATACTGCTCACCACTAGTGGAAAAAGTAAGACTTTTAATTCAGACTTAAAAGCTCAATCTGTCATCTGCATGACTGACAGTAACTGCATTTTAGTGACCTTGGCCCATAGAGACATCTCTCTTAGTGTTTGTCTTATAGAAGCCTGAGATATCAACTTAAAGTGATATTTCAATATCCTTCATTATGTAATTTGCTATTTTAAACAACAACAAAAAAAAACAGCAAGCAAAAGCTACTGATGAAGCAAGAACTAGAACATACTACATACCCTCAGTATGCCATTTTGTTGTTTGCTTTCAAACATTACCATTACACAGTACAAAAACATTTCACTAGATGGGCTGCCCACACTTCACAAATAATCTTACTGCCTTGATGTTTCTTGTCCTTTCACTGCTTCCAAGTACCCCCCAGTCTGAAACGTAAGCCCTTTCAGGACTGAGCTCATCTGTTCTGTTTGTACCTGCCTGGCACAGTAGAGTCCTGATCCACAACTAAGTCTACAGGAGCAGACAATGCTGTGCTTACTCAAAAGCCGTATTTTGTACTTTCACTGTACTTACAGCAACAAACTAACTTGGTAGATACATAAACTACTTGCCCAGTCCCACCTCCAGTCCAGATTTTTAGATGAACAGCATTTACCAAAGCTCAAAGCAACAGGAAGTCCTAAATGGCCTCCTATGTAACATTTTAACAATCTGAATTAGCCGTTTTCCCCAAAGTGTATTCAACTGGCACACTAAAGCTTTGTGCCAGGAACTTAAAAACCATGGAAAACATAACTTAATCACCCAACAATCATGTTACATATTTGTACAAATTATTAACAAAACTGTTGCAAATTGCTAAAAAAAAAAATTGACTCTCTTGTACATTTCCAAACATCCAAAGAACTTTCCCCATCAGCAAAGCCTAGAAACCATCATGCAACTGGCATCAATGTTCAGTTACAAAACAGTAAGAAAAATCCACAAGGTAACACAAATTTCAGCTACAAATCTTCATTGCTCCTAACAAGTGTCAGTCTGCATGTAAACTACATTGAAGCTAGATTCATTGCCCAAAATGATGTTTAAGAAAGCAGAAAAAAAACCATAAGGCATTTCTTACTGCTGGAATAAGTAGCAATGCCCTGAAGCAAAAACAGATGCATCGGAAAAGATTATTGAAAGCATTAAAAACTGTTTTCAAAGAAGACTGCAGACTACAGCAGGCACTAACACAGACCGCTCAGAGCTGAGCTGAGCCAGTGCCCAGCAGTCTGCAAAGATTTACCTTATGTTCTGGTAGTGTTACACTACACTACTGTTACAAAAAAGGCTTAATATTATTTAGGGTTTATTTATTTTAGCATTTCTGTTCAGATCAGGAATGCACTTCGGAATCAAACCTCGAGTCACTTCCTCTTACTGCTTTTTGTTTGCACCAGAGTGCTTTTGGATCACCACCTGCATTCCTTTTGGATCACACTAAACTGAAATATGCAACTTAGGAGCATTGCTAAGGCACCTTTGCCACAAATAGGCACCTATTACAGGCGACCAAACTAGAGATAGTCCAAATAAGACAGAACACCCTAAAATGTGTCCATTGTTGATGCCAGATTCCCAGCACCTCTTTCAGTCTACAGACCCATTCCTCTCAATCCACATTACTTGCTAATACAGACATAGACTTATGTTTGTTTGGTTTTTTTAAGCTAATCTTTCTTCCAAACACAGTAATGTTTTCCAAACTGATGCTTCCCACTGTATTTTAAATACTTCAGCTAAAAGACTGAACAATGGTTCTGTGGCCTTTCTGAAGTCCATAGCCTAAGCAGTTCACCATGCATACTGACAGAAAACTCACACTCAAGAGTATGGTTACATGACAAGCTAATTAGAAAGCCATTAAAACTTTTTACAGTAATTAAATAATTAAGTAATCATGCAGTAAGTTGCTTCCGGAATTAATTTATATTTACATCAAACAGTGATTGTCAAGCCAGCGTCACCTAGCTTTGTCATAAAGGCAGGTATAACCACTTCCGTGAAGACACCATGGTCAAAATAAGCTAAGTGCCCCACCCACTGCAAAGGCTATTTCTTCCCAGCAGACAGTGCATCTCAGATAAAAAAATAAAAAAGCAATTGAAGGAATTCAGGACAAAAACTAGTAAAGTCTAGGTAAACTTTAACAAGAGAGCATGTAAATTAAACTGACACTATGTAAATTTTCAACAGGTCTTTTCTTGACATCTTTTTTCTTTCCAGTGACAGAAACAGTTGTTACTGTTAGCAGTTTCATAGGGATTTTTTTTTTTCTTTGCTTGACTCAACATTCTCCAAAGCAAATCTCTAGAATTTGTATAGTACTGGAAAAACACCTTGTGAGGAAAAAAATCCTGAATGTGTTCCCTGGAAAAATGACAGTTAACATCTCAACATGCACTGCCCCTTGGAAAAACATTTGCCTAAAAAGTTTAAGAAGCTGCAAAGGCCACATGGGTTAAAAATTCCTAAAGCTGCTTTTTAAGAGAAAAAAAAATAAATTGTAGGAAGTTACATAATACAGATCTGATCAAGCAATGTATGCTTGTTACATTTCACTGGCACGTATGAAAATATTTTAGAATTCTATTGTAGATACACAAGCACTTACACACACAACACATACTTGTAGAAAAACAATTTCTACAGTTTAATTCAATATGGAAAAGTGAAGAGTAACAAATGCATCAAAAACTAAGAACTATTATATTCTGGAAAGAATTTAGTGTTCACAATTATCACAAAGGACTAGAAAAAAGGGAAGCAATAATTTTATAAGTTACATTATTAGCTACAACTACTAGATAAATCTTACAGCTGCACTTGACAGCAGAAAGACAGAGTATGAAGAAAAAGTAATAGCTTTACAGAGAGCACCAAGAACACTTTGATTGACTCCTGGCTAAAAAAATTAATGTTCATGTGAAAAATGTTTCTAATGTGACTTATGCTTCAAGATGAACAAGCCAAATCATTTTCAGACTGTGAAAGCAGTGTAAATGTAACTGAACATTTAAGGTACATTAAAGTGTATCAAAGAGCTGAGGATTGCTTCACTCTCACTTACCCTTGCATTAAATAAGGGAACTGATGGCTTGGCATGGGATTGCTTTGTGCTTGTGGAAGATTACGATGCCTCACTCCATCTGCACTAGTGTTCAAAGATGTAGATGAAGCTTCTTGGTTTGCGGCTGAGGCAGCAGTTGATCCAGAACAGTCTAAATTCTTAAAAATAAATAGAACTGAGGTTGGGGATCTTTTTGCCACAGTTACAAGATTTACTACTATGTCTTAAAAACCTATTTGCTTTAACATTTTGTCACAAGTTTTATTGATAATATAAGCACCTGGCAAGTCTTCTGGGGTTTTACAGGTTCTGGCAAGCCTTTAGTAAAAACAGCAATTCAAAATTGCACTCAGGTGCAAATATAAAACCACAGTTTTCAGAAAGACTCAACCACTTGACAGGTCCCAGAGAAAGCCACAAGTCACTGGGAATTAAAATGTCCAAAAGCTGAACCATACCAAAGCTTAATTGAAATAATGTTTAGCAGCAGCAATAATTCTAGCGGCTATCACTAACAAAAGTAACTACAACCTCAGGATATTACTGCATATTCAGAGAAAAGAGTGCCTGCACTAGCTTAAAATACCATTCTTCTAGCCTTATCTTCAGTTTCCCCTTCCACTTTCATACTTATCATCCTCTTCACTGTGCCAGCTGCCCAATCCAAACTGCTGTGCTCACAGCTGGGAGAGGGAAAGGGGTGGAAATAGTGAAGTAGCTAGGAACTACCTAAGCTTCCAGAAATACACCTAAAACTAGTGTGTCAGACCTTCAATGCTTTCCAAGATTAGTACTTAACCCTGGAAGCAGGACAACAGCTGGCTCTCCTAGATTATGTGTCACCATAAAAGTCTGCAATTTGGCCGCTAAGATGCATTATTTTAGTTTTAATAAATCAAATCCTGTTGCTAAACTTTACTGTAATGTTTACTCAGTAGAAAATCCTCTTCAAATTTGACAACTCAGGAAGTGAGAAGGTGCAATTACTTAAGACATCCATATCACATTTGCCCTACAAATGAAAACAAGAAAAATTTACCACTAGACAGTGGGGGGAGGGGAAATAAAAGTAAAAAACCAAATGGAATAACAAAAGCTACTGAAGCTTGGGCTTTCCATTGTTTCCTTAAAAGTATTATGGCCTTAACACTGTGCATACTGACTCCTTTAGGCAGTCGTTAATACAGTCATTTAAATACAACATTTACAACCGATCTATGTAGCAATAAAGCAATCACAAAGGAGGCCCCTGTGTTGTGCTTGCAAACAGAGACAGATATATAAATATAGCCTTTGAAAAGACAATGTATCCACTGTTCACTCTCTACTATTGCTTAAACTCCACATGTTTCTGACTGTCACACAGCAGTCAGAAACAGTACCCTATTGACAGAGAAATGAAGCCAAGCAGCTTATTACTGGTAGGATATTTCCATATGCTGATAATCAACACACTACAGATGAGAATTATCTAAAATGGTATTGTACACATTCCTTTCTCACTAACCTTTAAGGCTCGCTTAGTGTTACTGCCAACTCTAGAAAAAGCCAAGAGAATGACAGTAATGGCAACCAAGTCACCAACAGAAACATTAACTGCACTTCTGTTAAAACAGTACAACCAAGGATCATTATCATTTTTGCAGGGTGTGAAGAGAAGAAGGCTCAAAACATCCTAAACAAAAGCGTTCTTTGAACACCTTAACTGACAAAATTTTAAGAACACCTACTTCTCATTGTCTTACAGGCAGTATGACTACTTTGAAGCTACTAAGCAAGTACTGGACAGTTCTGTCAAGCAAAACAAACACTGGCCAACCTCTCTCTCTACCTCACAACCACAGCACTTTGACTAGTCTCTAGTCAGCAGTAAAATTTTCACAAAACTTATCAGATCTTTTTCAAAAAATAACTGGAATACACTGCTCAATTTCTGACAAAGACAGAGGAATGTGGAGAGAACAGAAAATGTACTTTTTGAAAAAGAGTTAAAAAGGAATAGCAGCTTAGGAAAAGTAGTGCTCAACCGTCTAATAAACATAGTTGTGTTACAATTTGATAAAAGGTCATCTTTGCTTAAACAAACACCCTTAGATAATCAAGTCTTATTGTACAAATTCGTATGGCATGCTCTGCTTTCACCACACTATTTCAAAAACTAAAATAAATTCCCTGAAAACTTCAGTGTAGAAGAAATTAACGGCCTATATATGAAAAAAAACTCACTGAGCTACTGCTGGAGGTTGAAGCTCCGTGACCTTCTCTACTGGTGCTGGGTTTTGGAGAACTTGGGGGTGTCCGGGAAGTACATACCAGATGAACCATATGATATTCATCTTGCTAAAAATTAAAGAAATGTAAGAGCTAAAGCAACAGTATTTGATAATTTCACAAGCAAAAACTGTCTTAAAATCCACATTTAAAGCTGCATTTGTAACCAGTAAAGAAGCATTATCAAAAATGGAGAGACCAGAAAGCAAAACTTGAGTCTAGCACAAGAGAAGTCCACTGCTTCACAACTGATGTTTTCTTAGCAGTTGTCCACAATAACATATTGAACATTCACTTACCCCAGATTTTCCCTAGAACTGCTGTATAGCAGAACCAGTGGAAAAGCACACAGAGAAACAAAAGGAAGTACATCACAAGCTTTAACATTTATTTTGGAAAAGTATCAAACCCACTACAGGGCTCAGTTTCCCTGAAGTTAAGAATTATTACATTTGCACTGAGATCTAATGAATAAAAATATCAGGGTATATGAAAAATGTAGGTGCTGGAATTCCACAAGCAGACCAAAATAAGAAAAAAGTACCAGCCATTACCTCCAGTTCCCTCCAGGCTAAGCTTGGCTCAAGCCTAGCCTGCAGGTGGGTGTCTGAAGAGCCCCTGCAGATATTCCATACTCAGGGAACACTATTCTAAGCGCTAGATGGGACTTGAGTATTCCTAAGTATTTACAAGTGAGGAAGGAGTGGCACCACTTGAGCCACGTCAGTGTGCAAGTAATCAGCCCACATCAATTCTTCATGAATCTGCTCCCTCCCAACATGGAGGCCCCAACATCTTCAATCTGAAGCTATTTCACTGCACCAATGAAAACACCCCATCATACCAGCATCTCTGAAGCTTAAATGGCCATAGCAACAAGAACAGCTATGACTGCATTTAAATTGCTTACTACAGCTTCCTCAGTCACCAAATTTTAAACAAGAAAAGCAACTAAAAAAAAAAAAAGTATTTTCCATCTTCTGAAAACAGTGTGGTGCAGTAAACCTGCAGTTTTTATTAAGATGACATTTAGAAATACCAGGCTTGGAAGATTTGTTGCTTTTTTTTTAACTATTACAAAATCCTTAACACACATGCTTACTCATTTTTAAGTTTTAATCTTTAGAAATATAGAAAACTGGATAACTGCTTCTACACTCCACAGTGCATTACTTCTAGCATAGCCTATCCACATTCATTTAAACTCCTCCACATGTATTAGCTTCTAAACCCAAGCACAGCCTCATTATTATATTAGGTGTAAATTCTTACTAGTCAGTGATAGTGAGCAATGATCAGAGAGCACTGAACACAGGTCATCAGCATTCTGACCACATCAAAAGCTTTTAACCTATCTAGTTTGTTACCTTCTTTCTAGGTGAGAACTTCTACTACTTGAGAGGCCAAGGAAGGTAGACATATTCTTTGTAAGCTTACAGTGTACAGCTTTATACTATGTGCCAGTTTACTATAATGTATTTTCTATTTATACATAACATGAACATCACCATATCTGAAGAGTGGCACAACTTAAAGCCTTAAGGTATCAGCAAAATGACAATACTCAGTATCAAAGAACAAGTATAATAAAGCTGATTTGAGAGATTTACTAAATCCTCAGCATCAGGAATTTATTGCTGATCAAGCAGAAAGAATACAGTGGAGAATGAGACTGACCTTAAGAGTAACTATAACTTTTTCCAAAAGCACTTAAAAGCTTAAGCACAAAAACCTCCCTGAAACTCAGTTTTTTCACTTTAAGACTGATGAGTATGCTTCTAAACTCCCTAAATTTCTTTATCTAAACCCAAGGCCTATAGTTACTAAAATGCCCTTAAAGTGAAACATAGCTTCTGTATAGCTAAGGAAGAGGTTAGTTGAGCAAAGTTTCTCCTCTAGAACATAAATAAGGTTTGAAATTGTGTTTCCTAAAACTAGACTGCTGTTAGCAGGCCAAGTGAATTTAAGGGAGTCAGACTTAATTTTGTCCTTAAAAAGCAAAACTAAGCTTTGAGGCCAGCTATATAAGCTTTTTCATTAACTTTTAAGTGGTACAAGATATATAATGATCTGCAACAGTCCAGCTCTGGCTTTCTAGTAAACCTATACATAGCAAATTTTTGGTAAGCAATTGAATAAAATCTATTTCAGAATGAAATCTATTTCAGCCTTAGTCTGCTCAAGATGCCTCTGTATCAGTTTCTCCATACTACATACAGAAATTCTCCCTTAAAGACTTTCCTCCAGACTAGGTATTAAAATGTAACCCACTCTCACAGTCTGCGCATTTTTACTTAACACTTTACCCAAAAAAAGTATCATTACCAACACCCAGGTACAGCATTACAAAGCTTACCTACTTTATAGGATTAAAAACTGTCTAACTGTTTAATGTTAAAGTATTTTTCATATACAGCTACTGATGTATCCTGATCTGTTTAGAATTATTTTAAAGACTATTCAACATAATGCACTATTTTCTGCTACTATCAAAACTGAGACAAAGCTCTTGACGATCTGCCCTAAATATCATCTTATTCTATACAGTTTTAAGAACTCTACTAACTTAATGAAGTCCCTGTTGCTTGGTAGCATCAATCCAAACTATTTGAACCAATCTGAGAACCAAGTGCCTGTATTTCAAGATTTCCTACATCAGATGTCATGTGTATGCAGTATTTGTATTTAACTAAAAGGTTGAATGGAGAAACCAAAGTTAGATTAGTAAAATTATTTCTCCTAAGAGGAGAAAGCAGAATAACAACTAATAATAGTAATAATAAGACAAATTAAGAAAGGACTTTCAATCATCATCAGGAATGGCTTGCTGTTGACAAAACCAGGACAGCAAATACCTTTCCCAGCAAAAGCATTCAGGAATTTAGAATTCTGTTTTGCATATAAATGCATTACCCTTAATTTGCTTATATAAATGCGCTTTTTCGTATAAGTTCTTGGATTTAAGTATGCGCAAGAAATGAAATTATGCCCCAAACAAACCTAATCTGTCAAACGATTCTGTGTAGGTCATAGTGGGAACTGCCCTCAAAAGTCCCTCTACACTGCACATCACTTGTTTAGGACTTGCATTGCCTACTTGCTCTCCCATGAATCAGAAATACTCTTCAGTCCACAAGTATCACAATTCCACATATAAGGGATACTAGAAAATACATTTTCCTGAACATAGCAACATTATATGCTTACATCCTTCAATGCAACAATGAACATTTTAAGCTAAACAACACAAATCTAAATTCCTATTTCCAAAAAAGGGGGGGTTGATCAAATATCATATGGTGTTGATATAAAGCTTACTTTTCTGAGAACATCTTTCAGCTGCAGATGATCAGGAAGCAGTCTGCCAGAATACACCAGTCTCTGATCCTTTGTAGACTAGGAGATGGGACAAAGAAAGGAATTTAGCTTTTTCCTGCTGTACAGATATACAGCTGGAGACAACATCTGAAGATGACAAAAACCCTTATAACTCCAACCACCAACAGCTTTAAAAATGTTTCAGAGGCTGCACAAATCCAACTCACAAATTAATTCTGAAAAAGAATTCTGTTATTATACACTCAGTAAGAGTGTCATAACAATAACACTTAACTGGCAAATGCTGCTCAAGAAAACTATGAAGTCTATTTTAAAAAAAAAAAAAAGTCCTCTTTTTTAAAGCTTTGCTTTTTACCCTGCTTCCATTCCCAGGCACTTCCTGAAAAGTAGCTGGGGCAAAGAAAAAAAAACCATAAATAGTAGAATGATGGAAACATTAACATATGCAGAAGGGCACAAATTTCCATCTTTTATGACAAAGAATTTTGTTATTAGCCCTTGCCCCAAATCCATGCTGCCTCTCCCTCCCTTCCCCCCCCAAAAATAATCACAAGAGGAAATGAGAAGAAAAGCATTTAAAAACATGAAGTAGCAATTTTAAATTTTTTTTTTAAGGTAGCTTTCAAACCTTGGTAAACTTTTTTGCCTGTTGTTACACTTCCTCAGTTTACAATACGTTATTAACATAAAAACATTTTAAAAACCCTAATTATATGCTACTCATTAGCTAGTAGCTTTTAACTATTCTACACAGAAGAGATAGTGACCAACTTCTTTTTAATATTAAACTATTTCGAGTACCCTCCTACAGCAAGATGTCCAGTCCAGCAAAGAAATAGGCAGTTTACTTGGTTAAGCAAAACAAACATATAAAATCCCCCCACTCTAATAAATTTGGTTTATCTGGTCAGAAAGAATTTTAAATAGTCTTAATACTAGTGGGTCACTAACATGCTGATAACTATGTAAATAAATACATAACAAACATTCCTAAATATTCACCCATATTAAAAGAATTTTAAACAGAAGCCAACTGATACATCCATTCAGTTTAACTACTGCCTGCATCCTAAATTAACACAATAGGGCTTATCTCTTTAAACAGAGTGCTAACACAAGCAAACGCTAAATAAAATCTAGCCTAACATCAGTGGAATAGAAATGCATTATCAGCGTGAAATATTTAAAGAATTTCCCCATCACACACATAGCTAGTCTCTCCTCCTTCTCTCGCAGCCTTCTGTTGTCCACTCTGCAGTCTTATTCGTGTTAATACTCAGTCACAAATACCTCAGATTCAGATTGTTGTGATTAGAAAAATCTTTCACAGAAGTTTTGAGAATTTTTTTCTTGCTATTGCTATTGCCTTTTACAGATTTCCTGTAACTCAGCACAACACAGAAAATTTGCAGAACTAGTTTTTTCCCCTGAAAGATATCTGATCGTATCACTAGAAAAATCAGATACTCTAAGCAAATAATTAGATGAAGTACACATGAAATCCGAGAAGCATTTCTTTAACTTTTTTCCCAAATTCATACTCTTCATTATCAAACACATGGCTTTAAAAATGTATGTAACCTGCCACATACAGTACAGAATTGTATCTCACTTGAAAGAATAATTTTCTAAGTTCTGTATTTTTAATTACTGATGTAATGCACTATATTTTAAGTCTCACAACACAGGGAACTACTTATTTGCAGCTGCAACTGATAAAATAATGCAATGAATTCAATATCAATGCCATACTCTTTCTATTTACATCTAAAACAAGTAGAAATACCTGCCTCTCTCACATCAGACTTATTTATTCTTAACTACACCATTTTGGTTGCTCCCTTCAAGCAGGAACAGTCTGCTTACAGAATAAAAGCTTACTTGGATTTTGTATTTGGGAAAGACCTCCTTAGAAAAATGAGAATTTGCAGCATGTATCAAGATTAGAGAAAACTTTTATTTCCTGTAAATTGGAAACTTGTTGCTTTAGAATGATCAAAGGAGCCAGAAAAGTCTCAGAAAGCTTGCTTCTGGGTCCTGAGATAGATTATCTGTAGACTAATTAGAATAGATAAGCAGTTAAAACAAAACACAATAATAATAATAAAAAAAAAACTCCAAGTCTTTCTGCCATCATCCAACATGGCAATGGAGTGCTGTTTCGTCTGCCACACTCATAATACAACTTTCTAGGTGGTAAAATTCAGATTCTTTTCTGTAGAACCCCTGTCAACCTCATCTAATTAAGTGCCTTCTCAAACATAAGCAGTACAAGTTATTTTTTAATATGCATACTTTACAGAGAAGAAAATGCTAGATGAAAATGACCTCTCAAAGCTGACTACTACATAGCCTTTAGTCATGCATTTCAGCTACCTATAAAAACACAAAAGAAAAGGTTACACATACACTGAGTACTGTTAATCATATTAAGCCAGAGACATTAATGGGGGAAGACGAGGTCTTAAACCCCATACTCCTCCCTGTGTAACTTAAAATACCTGTGCACTACAGGATTATCACTTGCCATTCTCAGGGTGAAAGCCACCTTAAGATTCTGAAACCTAGGTGTTTTTAAAATGCAGATAGAAGAAGAGGTGATAAAAGTGAAAACACGGTATTTCACATATATGCCAAAGTAAGCAGAAAAGGCATTTCAAACTCATCCTCTGCCAGAGGAGGTTCAGTGCCATACATCCTGCTTCAAGGAACACCATGATTACTGCTAGCCCAAACACTTAGCTGCACTGGGAAAATACTTTAAAAATATATAAGTGGCTCAATTTGCAGGAGTAAACACACAGCATCAGATAGAATTATTCTAGAGTCTAAAGTTCAGAGTGAGGTGCAGGAGCACTTTCAAATCATAATTCAAAAGGTAAATATATTTAAAACTAAAACTTCCTCAGCTACTGGGCATTTTTCATTGTTTGTTTGTGGGTTTTTTTACCATTTTTCAAGCAAGACACCCTCTGCAATGTTTAGTTCAAGTCAGCCCAATGTGTTACCAAAACCACCAAACCTAAACGACTGCAGCAACCTTCTAAAGAAACACAATCTCTCAGCTATCCTGTTTCAGCTATAAGACATCCATTATTTTGGTCACTCAGCCTCTCTCCCCCTTTCTTCCATAAGAAACTGAAATCCAAGCAACCACATCTGGTTAGAACTGTGAGTAAAGAATACACCAGACATCAGGTACTAACGGGTATGAGAAGTAAGTTTTAAGTTAACATTTATGGGTGTAACGGATGCAGCTGTTAATGCACTGAATGCAAGATCTGCCAGACTGAGACCTACAGGTTGATTTTCCAAGTTTTCTTTTCTTAAACAATCTCACACTATAATTGCAGTACTCCAGCTATGAAGAATTGGTACAGCTGGGGCAAAAAAAACCTGACAAATTTAAACCCTCTACAATAATAACTGAAACAATTAAATCTGCCTATACTTGAAATTTGTACCTATTTAACTAAGTCATTTACACAAATGAATCTGCAATCTGCCTCAAGACCTAACTTCTTATTAGCTAATTTTAACTATCTAATTTTCTGAATACATAACTTTTAAATTGTAAATTACCACAGAATTATAGAATGGTTTGAGTTGGAAGGGACCTTAAAGATCATTCAGTCCCAGTCCCCCTGCATGGGCAGGGACACCTCTCACTAGACCAGGTTGCTCAAAGCCCCATCCAACCTGGCCTTGAACACTTCCAGGGATGGGGCTTCAACAACTTCCCTGGGCAACCTGTTCCAGTGTCTCATCACCCTCATACTAAAGAATTTCCTTCTAATGTCTAACCTAAATCTCCCCTCTTCCAGTTTTGATGCACTATCTCGTCCCCACTACAAGCCCTTATAAGAAGTCCAGTTATCATCAGTTTACCAACTAATTTACAAATTTGTGTAGGAGAACAAGGTACAAATCACATGTGAAAACTTGAAAGACTATGTGTAGTAGTGACAGCAACTGATTTCTATTTTACACCCTCAACTTCAAGATACCTGTACAGAGAAGCTGTGTTCTGATGTACTCTCAAACCCTTAAAACAGCAGTGTAATAGAAGTTATTTCCAGGAATTTTCATATTCAGGAAACGTAGAAATTTGATTGACAAGATTTTGAAACTGATCTGGTTTAAAAACAAAACAACAAAAAAAAGGGTGGGGACCTCCCACACAAATTTGCAAAAAGTAGTTACACTCAACATCAAAATCATATCATGCCAAAAAACACTTTGATTTTCCTACACATAGGAGGCATCCTATTAAATTACTTTCTCCCTCCCCATGTTATTAAAGGTCCCATGAAATAAGATAGTGTTAAGTTACTAGTTTAATTGCAAATACAGTAAATTCAAATTCAATTTGAATAACTGAGATAATCTGCACTAAAGAAACTCCCCATTCTTTTACCCAGATCAATTTTGAGAATTCTGAACTAGTCATTCAATAATGCGAGGCATGTTGAGGAATCAGTTTTCAACAAAAGAAAGATGTTCCAGGAAACTGAAATTTAGTATTATACTACCGGTTAAAACCTACAGTGCAACATAAAAAACCTCTTGTTCATAAAGGATTCCTTGAAGAAGCCTAACTTAGCAAGGCCATAGAATGAGTCAGAAAACTAGTGTTTAAACACAAACACGTCACAGGAGGATGTTCTAGGAAGCAGGAAGATGCAACAATCAGCTGAAGTCGTGTATTTGTTTCTTCTACACAGATAGGCTTTCTCAGCAGAGAATTACGGCAGTAACTGAACCTACAAACACAAACACTGCTTAACAGATCTCAATGTGCCAGTGACAAAGACTAAGTTGTTGACAGCTTTTCTTCTACTTTCTCCAAAAGGCAGAAACCTCTTTTGAGACACAAAGCTACTACTTTACCTTCCACACCGGCAAAAAAAAAATAAAATAAATCAACAATGGCAATGATTCTTCTAGCACCGGCAAAAAAAAAATAAATCAACAATGGCAATGATTCTTCTATTGAACTAGGTGAATACTAATCATTTACAAGACGAATGCAACCTTTGTCTGATGTTTTCTATAACAAGGTCTAGGGCCCCACATGCTGCTGCAGTGTGGACGAAAGAGTCACTCCTTTTATACACTTTTCTGGAGCAAATTTTAAAATATATTGTTTTGTATGACTGCCATTCTAAACATGTCCAGTATTATCATTTTATTATTAACTGTACGTTTTTCATAACTTTTTACTCACCAAATCTAGAACCTAAAAGAAGTTAGGAATAAATCGTATTTTCCTCGGTGAACAACAAAAAAATAAGCTTTTCTATTCAGTTTAAAAATACAGTTACAACTGTCACACAAGTTTGTAGAACATCTGCGAGCAGAGTTTTCAGCACAACCTCAAAAAATGTCTTCTGAAGAGGAGAAAATAAATTATAAATAATTTTGGAGGCTGTTCGACTGCGTCTTTTAAATGATACTATGAACAGACATGATCTGCTCCCCACCTCAGTGAATTCACTAGAACAGGGTAACATTAGCTACCTTGCTTTTACAGAAATTAAATAGAACTCTTGCATTTACAGAAATTAAACTGAGTTAACTGCGATCTTGAAATTCCAGTTCCTACAAGAAGTTAAACGGAGCACTTGGAAGTGTCTCCAGTGATACCACTTTTCAAGATTCTGCACAGCGATCCTGACCTTCTTAAATCACACACAGGAGTGGCTATTTATACCGCCAGCTCCCCTGAAAGCAGCGAGCCAGCCACTGCCCTGGCACCGACCGCTCCTGGGCAGGAGGGCTCTGGTTTATTGTGCAGAGCACCCCAGACAAGTCTCGACCAACTGTCCACAAGTTACCGCAACACCAGCCTGACCGACAAGACGAAGGAAAAGGGCAGGCCAACAACAACTCACCGGCTTACTGGGGTAGACTTTAGAGAGGTGAGACTTGAGCTTGCCCACAGTCCAGTCCAGAAAGCAGTTAATGGTCTGGTCGGTGTATTTCTGGTTGGGCGCCTTGATGATGAGGGTCACC